CCATGATTTCTTTCAAAAGCCATCACAGCAGTGCTTTGGGGAAATGCAAGATGCTACTGTAAGGCATATGTAGATTTAAGAAAACTGCATGTTGAGTGTCACGGAAAACAAGTGTTGGTGAGGATGTGAAAGAAGCAAGACCCTCACACACTGCTTCTGGGAAGTAAATGGGCACATGATTAAATTTACTACACATCCATGCGAAACATCCACACTTAATAACTTAAACAAATACTTAATAACTAAAACAAACTCAACCTAAATGTACATCATCTGAAAATCCAAACATGACACATACAATGCACTAGTCAGTAATAAACAGGACCAAACTACTAATACATGCTACTATATGGGTGAATCTCAAAATCATTATGTTAAGGGAAAGAAGCCAGACACAGTACCCATTTCATATTATATGAATGTGAAAAATGTCAAGAAAAGGTTACTCTATGGAAATAAGAAAACAAACCAATGACTATCTGCATGGAACCAGAATTGACTACAGATTAGTGTCTGAAACCATTAAACTGACGCAAATAATTGTGAATCTGAATTGTAGTCAGCACTGAAAAATTCCAAACATCACTTCATACTTAGAAACAGTGTATATATCTTCTTGGATGCCAATTTCCTAAAGCCAGGTGTGGTGGTACCTGCCTGAAGTCCTAGCTCTACCAAGACACAGGCATGACTGGTGAGTATAAAGCCAGCCTGGGATACACAGGAAGACTTTGTCTCAAGAAACAGATGATTTGCAAGTGTTTCTTGTAACAACAGAAAAGGCTCAGAAAGGCATGGTCAAGGCCCATTACAGACTCTCCAAGCTAAGGGACAGGGAGGACTTGTGTTCCAAAAGGAGGGGGCGATTTAAGAGCTGGGCCTAACTGAGCAGTGGTAGCACCTGCCTTTAATCCCAGTATTTGGGAGGCAGAGGTAGGTGAATTTGAGTTTGAGGCCAGCCTGGTCTACAAGTAAACTCCAGGATGGCCAGGGCTACACATAGAAATCCTGTCTTGAAAACCCAAAAAGAGCTAGGGCCTAATGAGAGGAATTTACATATTTAGTTACTGTAGAATTAGAGAGAGACCCTAGCTCCTAAATCTATCTTGTTTCCTGTCTCACAATGTTACCCCTCCTCTTGCACATGTTCCTAATAGAATACCATTCACCACGTTGTGATATATGTAGCCTGGAGACCCTCACCAGAGCCATATAGATACTTTGCATTCTTGACTCTCTAGAATTATGAGCTAAATAAACTATTCTTGTTTGTTTGTTTTTGTTTTTCAAGACATGGTTTCTCTGTGTAACAACCCTGGTTGTCCTGGAACTCACTTTGTAGACCAGGCTGGTCTCAAACTCTCAGAGATCACCTGCCTCTGCCTCCCAAGTGCTGGGATTAAAAGTGTGCACCACCATGCTCAACTAATAAACTATTCTTTAAAGTAACCCACCTCAGGCATTTTGTTATAGCAAAAGAAATCTAATACATTTTGTAGCACAAATTTCTAAAGGTCTTATAATAAAAACCTGGAGCCAGAATATTGGGGCAAATGCTGAAAGATCAGAGAGACAAAGGAACAAGTCACAGCTCATCTCTGACTCCTGAGTGCTAGGATTAAAGGTATGTGCCACCACTGCCTGGCCTCTATGTTTAATCTAGTACCTTGTTCTGTCCTCTAATCTTCAGGCAAATTTTATTTAGGGTACACAATATATCACCACAACATTCCTGTAGTACAGTTTGTGGTGGTGTTCTAATTGTACTGAAATGTGATTTTGATTGTATGTTAATAAATAAAGTTTCCCGGGGGTCAGAGCTATTAGAGCCATAGACAGAGTGTGG